AACCAATCAACAACAAAAACATGGTCAAGTCTGTCACAGCAAGAGCCTGCTCCCTGGTACCAACTTCTCTATTAGTTACTTTCCTATTGCTATGATAAAACACCTTGACCAAGGCAACTTATTGAAGGAAGGGTTTGTCTGGGCTTACGGGTTCAGAGGGTTACAGTCCACCATCGTCAGAGCAGGCAAGCATGGCAACAGGCATGGTGACTGAGCAGCAGCCTAGAGCTTACATCTTAGACTACAATGAGAAAACAGAGCAAACAGGGAATGGCAGAAGTCTTGGAACCCTCAAAGCCCACTGCAAGTGACATACTTTCTCCCTAGACCACATCTGATCTTCCCAAATAATGCCACCAACTGGGAACCAAGCATTCAGGCACTTATGGAATATCTATAAGGAATCTATAGGGACTATAGGGAATATGGTGGTTTGAATGAGATATTCCCTATAGGCAACACATTCCAATGACAGTAGCCTCTGCTGTTTTGGGGCTGTCCAAGCTTGTTTACTACACTATGACAGAAAGGAACTTAGGAGGAAAAGATGGATTTCCTCTTACAAGGCCATAATCCAACACTAAAGGAAGGCAGGAACCTGGAGGTAGGCACTTGTGGTAGTTTGAATGTAATCGGTCCCCGTAAGCTTATGGGTAGTGACAGTATTAGGAGGTATGGCTTTGTTGGAGCAGGTATGGCCTTGTTTGAGGAAGTGTGTCACTGTATGGGTGGGCTTTGAGGTCTCATAGATGCTCAGGCCATGTCCAGTGTCTTAGATTACTTCCTATTGCTCAAGATAGAGCTCCTTCTCCACTCTCAGCTCCTTCTCCAGCACCATGTCTGCCTGTATGTCACCATTTCCTGGATGATGATAATGGACTAAACTTCTGAAACTGTAAACAACTTAATTAAATGTTTCCCTTTGTAAGAGTTGTCGTGGTCTTGGTGTCTCTTCACAGTAATGGAAACCCTAAGATAGCAGTGAAGCACAGACCACAGGGAAATGCTGCTAACTGCCTTTTTTCCTCTATGGCTTGCTCATCCTGCTCAATCCAGGACCATCACCCAGAGGTGGTATCACTCACAGTGGGCTGAGGCCTCCTACATCAATCATTAATATGAAAAAAATGCTCTCACAAAATGGTCTATGGGCCATTTGGATGGAGGCATTGTCTCAATTGAGGTTTCCTCTTCTCAGATGACATTTGTTTATGTCAAGTTGACAAAACCCTAACCACATAGGGGCTTTCTGGAGCCTCCTTGACCAACTAATAGGTATTACATGCCTGATACTAGAATTTTAATTTAATAAACCACAGCTTTTGGGAGAAGCATTATTTATCCACGCAAGGAATCTTTGTTCAAACTCATTTTTAAAAAGACTTATATTTTTTAACTAGCTTGCAAAGTCATAAGGCTTTCCATATATTTTTAGTTTTGGTTAACTGTCTCCTTATGTCCTTTCTCTTTCCCATCTCTTGCCTCCATCCCTGCTTAGCTCTTTCCACCCCCTCTGCCTTGAGACCATTTCTCCTCTGTCTCATTGGTCCTCCCTAGTTTCCTGACTTCTGTAGAAAGTCCAAAGTCAATATCCAAATCTAAAAATTTGAACCTAGAATCCATATAGGTGAAAAACATGTTGTATTTGTCTTTCTGGGCCTTGTTTGCCTCAGTATATCTGCTAGTTCCATCCATTTTCCTTTGAATTTCATATTTTACACTGAGAAACATTCCATTGTGTACCACATTTTCATTATCCATTCATCAGCTGATGGATATCTAGGCAGATTGTATTTCCTTGCCATTGTGAACAAAGCAGCAATGGACATGATATCTCTTTAGTAGTATGTAGAGGTCTTTGGGTATATGCCTAGGAGGCCTGGAGTTGATGCATATAGTAGTTCTATTTTTAGTCTTTTGAGAAGCTTCTATACTGATGTCCATAGTCAGCCCATCTTGTCCCAGCCTCGGCCACCCTGTGAGCAGTGTGTGTACACCCGGAATTGCTCCTCATTTAGGGAACTGCCTGTAGAGACCTCATGTACACAAAGGGATGTTATCCTCCCGCCTTTCATCTACCTGATAATCTCTGCATTTTGGCTTAGTAAACTGGGAGGGAGTGTTTTGCTTGTGATTGTTGGTCGTTGTGTATGTCTCTGTGGGATCAGAGGTCTTCTTGGGTAAAGAAAATTCTATAGATTTAGTTCTTCTCAGCTATCAACAGGGCATTGAACATTCACAGGGAGGCTGGAAGCAGTAATTAGGGAGCACATTGCACATTTAGGCTTGCCGGCACATGCTTGAATGTGAAGAAGACTCATTAGACTGCATTTCTATGTCATTCCTCCAACTGGAGGCTCCAATTTTAAGTCAGGGTCACTTTAGGGGCTTGCATATTTGGGAGCTTGTAAAAGCTCTTCCTGAGAGATGACGAGGGAAGGACTTCTGTGGTGGTAATCTAATTGTATTGAAATATTATTCTGATTTGTACTGAAATATTAATTTGATTGTATGTTAATAAATAAAGTTGTCTGGGGGTCAGAGCTATTAGAGCCATAGCAAGAGTGTGGCGGTGGTGGCACACGCCTTTAATCCCATAGATATCTGTGTGTTCAGGGTCA